CTCTATTTAGTTGCTATTCACTCTTTAAATGAAAATTCGATCTGACGATGGGTGACTGGCCCGAAACGTCAATAATTTTTGAACATCATTAATAAAAGGATTTTCATCTACAGAGTGAATAGCAACTAAATAGAGCGGTTGTCAGTTGACAACCGCCCTTTTATTTACTTCTTATATTCACATATTTTATCACATTTTCATTCAAAAAACGGCACACGATCTCAACTAGTAACTTGCTGTAATGTATTTCCTGCCTCTCGAGAAGCGCAAAGTAATCCCAGTCTTTCTACTAACTTATCAGGCGATTTGTAAAATCTGATTCCACTACCTTCAACAGGAGTCATAGTCTGCTTCCCTATTTCTCGACATGCGCAAATCTCGCTTCGGGTGCGTGGAAAAACAATACCGTACGGGTACTCGACCCTGGTACCGACGCGACATCGTGATTATTATTATTATTATTATTATTATTTTGGACGGATTGGGAGAACTTCAAATTCAATGGATCAGTTGGGGAAGTGAACTGCCTGAAAAGAGAAAAAATCGCCAGACCCACCAGGACTCGAACCCGGGACCTTGCTTGTCATGAGCAAAGCTCTAACCACTGAGCTATGGGACCGGGCTGAACCTAGAAGGCGCTGACAAGATTTTCACTCCAAAGGCAGCTCACAACACGTGCCACACATACTGATGGCACTTGGGTCTTTCTCCCTCCCCCAGGGGACCAACCACGGTCAGTTTCTGGACCCTACCAGAAGTGAAAGAGAGTGATAAATTTTGGACGGATTGGGAGAACTTCAAATTCAATGGATCAGTTGGGGAAGTGAACTGCCTGAAAAGAGAAAAAATCGCCAACAGATCCATTGAATTTGAAGTTCTCCCAATCCGTTCAAAATTTATCACTCTCTTTCACTTCTGGTAGGGTCCAGAAACTGACCGTGGTTGGTCCCCTGGGGGAGGGAGAAAGACCCAAGTGCCATCAGTATGTGTGGCACGTGTTGTGAGCTGCCTTTGGAGTGAAAATCTTGTCAGCGCCTTCTAGGTTCAGCCCGGTCCCATAGCTCAGTGGTTAGAGCTTTGCTCATGACAAGCAAGGTCCCGGGTTCGAGTCCTGGTGGGTCTGGCGATTTTTTCTCTTTTCAGGCAGTTCACTTCCCCAACTGATCCATTATTATTATTATTATTATTATTATTGTCTCTTTCCCTCAAACCAGTCAATATTATTATTATTATTATTATTTTAGAATTGCGATCAACAGAACGAGCTGAACCGACATTTCACAAAGGCTTTTATTGTTTTCAAAAAACGAGTGGATACGAAGGCAGTGAAGAACATGGAAGAAAGAAAAAATGTGATATGGAAAAAAATGATGAACAAAAAATTTGTACTTCGAACTAGTTTTCGCACAACACTCCTCAGGAAGCTACGTTGTACTAATGAAAAACAATCCAGAAAGATACTAATAAAGAGAAATGGAGTGAAAAGAAACAACACCTATGAAAATGATAATCCTAGCACTAAGGTAATAACAGGAAAAACTGCGAAAGCACTTAACGAACTTGTAAGGACTACTAGTATACTGTGACACAAGATATGACACCATGGCCAACCAGAGCCAAACAGACAGAACAAGCTGCCACTAAAACAATTTCAAACGAATAATGCTGTCCTTCTGGACACACAGATTAGGCTTATGAATACGTTGACAAACAGCTTTTTGGTTGGCCATGGTGTCATATCTTGTGTCACAGTATACTAGTAGTCCTTACAAGTTCGTTAAGTGCTTTCGCAGTTTTTCCTGTTATTACCTTAGTGCTAGGATTATCATTTTCATAGGTGTTGTTTCTTCTCACTCCATTTCTCTTTATTAGTATCTTTCTGGATTGTTTTTCATTAGTACAACGTAGCTTCCTGAGGAGTGTTGTGCGAAAACTAGTTCGAAGTACAAATTTTTTGTTCATCATTTTTTTCCATATCACATTTTTTCTTTCTTCCATGTTCTTCACTGCCTTCGTATCCACTCGTTTTTTGAAAACAATAAAAGCCTTTGTGAAATGTCGGTTCAGCTCGTTCTGTTGATCGCAATTCTAAAACTATTGTCTCCTCGACGCCTATTAATTATTATTATTATTCTCAATTCATGGATGACATGGTGTCAACCAATATTATGAATGAGGGATCGCGCGCGACTGGCCGTCGTGACTCCTGCCGATACAGGAAAACGATCGAGTGATTCGGGACTTTGGGGATAGATACCTTTCTTTCTTTCTCTTCTCTTGTGTACTCTGGGAAGGAACGTTTGGGCCTGGTCTAAATCTTGCTTTGGACAATTTTATTTTGCATTGCTATCAGGTTCGGCCTCATTTTCTCTGTGCTGCGCTGGCGAGTCCACCAAGGACGAAACAGTTCTGTCCGCAGATTGAGGATAAGATGTGTATGAATGTGTTAAAACCTTACGGTATGGAGGGGGAGCTCCATGAAAAACCGTTATCCAGCCTCCCCCAATTCAAGCATTCTCTCTATCAGAATTTTCGCCGATATATTCATTACACTGTCGGCAGATTTTGTATGTCTCGATCTATTTCCTTAGCCTATCCTCGATTAACTGCTCCCTCTACATAAAGTTGTCATTTCATTCCTCTTGCAGGAGATCCCCTCGACAGGCCCAAAGCCTTTGGGAAATCCATAAATATAATAAAATACAAAATACAAATCCGGGTATGACTCATTATCACACATATGTTCAGACTCCTACTCGTGGCGACAATACCCTTGACCTCGTGATGTCTACCTTCAACTCCCCAGTATTGACAACCGCCACACCCCCTCTTGGGCGGTCTGACCACGTTATCGTTCTATCCGACTTCGTAGGCATATTACCTTGCCACAAACCTGCAGCAAAGCGAACTGTCTGGCGGTACAAGAGCGCAGACTGGCATCGCCTCCGAGCTTTCCTTCGCAACTCTCCATGGCACGACATCATAACCGATGACCCAGACACCTCCTGTGAGCGGGTAACCACCACTATCAGAGGAGCAATAGCCAGGTTTGTCCCATCTAAGGAACTTACCACGAGGCCGAGCGATCCAAAATGGTGGACACCGGAATGTACAGCTGCTATGAGGGAAAAGGACAAACGTTGGCGTTCCTGGAGAAAACACCCGAGCGATCTTTCACTCAAACAAGCTTTCCTCTGCTCCGTTACCACAGCCGTCAACATCCTAAGGCGATCCCAGGAAGCTAAAGAGGCCAGTATCCGTCACAGCCTTTCCACGGGCTCACTCAAGGACAAAGAATGGTGGACCAAGTTAAAGTATGCTAGTGGGGACGGACGTAACACGGACATTCCTCTCATTGTTGATGCGGGCGGACGAGAGTTGGCAACAAGCCATGAGAAATCGGAGGCCTTCGCCACCTTCTTCTCCAGGAAGTGCAGTGTCACTGGCCAGGATCTTACTTCTGACGACTTACCTGACCTTGTTGCAACCGGAGCACCGGCACTCGCAGCCGTTCATTTTCGCCCCACCACTGTCTACCGTCTGCTAGCGCGACTCGACGTACCAAAGGCGACTGGTCCTGACGGCATTTCAGCCCGGGTCCTGAAAGAGTGTGCCAAAGAACTTGCGAAGCCTTTGTCCCAGCTATTCGCTCTCTGTTTCAGGTGCGGAGTTCAACCAGAATCTTGGAAGACAGCTAACGTGGTACCGATCCACAAACGGTCCTCGCGCTCTGTTCTGAATAACTACCGCCCAGTCTCGTTATTATGCATAATGTCCAAAGTAATGGAAACTATTGTCAATCGCCAACTGATGAACCATCTTGAGCGCCAGCAGCTCCTCACTCCCCACCAGTTTGGGTTCCGTAGAGGTCTCGGCACGGCAGACGCACTACAGGCGCTTCATAACGCCTGGGTGGGCATCGTTGGCCAAGGTGGCGCGGCACGAATTCTCGCAGTCGATATAGCCGGGGCCTTTGACCGGGTCTCCCACGTGGGCCTCCTCTACAAGGTCCGGCAGCTCGGCATTACTGGCACTCTCTATTGCTGGCTATCGTCTTATCTTGACGGCCGTTCACTCCAGTGCTTAGTCGGCGGTCAGATTTCCTCTCTCTACCCAATCTCTGCAGGGGTGCCCCAAGGCAGTATATTGGGCCCTACGCTGTTTCTAATATACGTGAATGACGCTGCCGATGTTCTTGATGGCAATGCTCAGCTTGAGGCCTACGCGGACTGTCATGCAGGTTCTCACACGCAACGGGAACACTTCGTGGTAGTAAAATAGATATTTCGCAAACAACAAAAAGACAACTCTTTCTCTTCCTTTCGAAGAACCGAGCTAATTACTTGCCGAGCCTCATCGAAAAACCAAACGAAACTCTGAAAAAGCCCTACACTACACTAGTACGGGATTCAGCGCAGAGCAAAAAATGATCATGAGTCATTATACAATGCATGCAGTGTAGCCGTGAAAACTGGTGAATAAAGAATGCAGTAGGTTGGCAGCACGTGACCCGTCGTACCGCAGTACGCGACGGCGTCGCGGCTTAGAAATGAAAGGAAACACTGCGAGAAAAGACAAAACGAAAATACATGTCCCTTTGTCAAAACTTAGAAGAAACAAACAAAATGCGACCAAGAATCATTTTGAGAGTCAACGTCAATACTCTTGTGCAGTTGTGCAAATTCTTGTCTTGCACTGTGCAACGCAAGAAACAAACACACCTACGAAATAACTCGTGAACTAACTGTAGGCTAAATCACTACATGTACGCGAAATTGCGTTCCAAAATAAACTGAATTTCTGAGACATTTCATATTTCACATCCTGAGAGAAATATTGAATAAATAGTAAATACTTCATAAAAAAACACATGGCCACGACGGCCTTCCCAACATACCCCCCTCCTTGATACATCCGTATCAAAGAATGAGTAAAATGAGAAAAGAGATCGAACTGACTAAAGATGGCGATAAGTCCATCTAAAACGTGCGTACGGACTGTCAGCCTTTCACAACCGGACATAGCCGTACAACTGACCTGGTTACCTGCTTGCCTCCGACCTGGAGCTTAGCGACACGCACTCTGCCGTCAGAACCAGGGTAGACCTCCAACACCCGTCCAAGAGGCCACCTGCCACGGGGGGTATCAGCTGACACAACGAGGACGATGTCACCGACACTGAGATCCGGGTACTCTTTCCACCACTTGGAGCGACGATTCAGGGCTGGTATCCACTCCTGCATCCACCTTCGCCAGACATGGGATACAAGCATTTGGACGTGTTGCCAGCGGCGCCGAAGACACGGTGACTCGAGGGCAAGATGATAGTGCTCAATGCGTCCAACCAGGAAGTGATTCGGTGTGAGTGGCAAGTCATCGCGGCTGTCACTAGAGGGAGGAACAATTGGACGAGAGTTGAGTAGCGCCTCTGCGCTGCAGAATGCTGTTCGCAGCTCCTCATCGGTGATTGATGCCTGCTGTAGAACATGGTAAATAGCCTTCTTTGCTGCTTTTACCATACTTTCGTGAACGCCTCCAAAGTGTGGTGTCTGGGCAGGGATGAAATGCCACTTGATCCTCTTCATGGTAGCGCTGTGCTCCAGGACGTGTTGCTCCTGCTCGGTGAAAATCTCCGATAGCTCACGATTAGCCCCGACGAAGTTCGTACCATTGTCCGAGAGCACTTCAGCAGGAACACCTCGGCGGTTGCACATTCGTTGAAAGGCGTTGAGAAAGCTGTCGGTATCCAAACCTGTGGCCATTTCCAGATGCACAGCACGACAAAGACAGCAGGTGAAGACGCACAAATACCGCTTAGCTCGTCGTTGCCCTCGACCCTGTACCGTTGCGAATGGTCCAGCAAAGTCGACGGCCACGCGACTGAAAGCGTGGAGAGGCTCCTTCAACCGGATCTTGGGCAATGGTGCCATGATCTGCGTGGCTGGTTGTGCTTTCCGAAATTGACACTTCACACAGGAACGTTCGTACTCCCGGATGGCTTCTCGAATCGCCACGATCCAATATTTCCTCATGAGGACTGCCATAGTGTGAGCTGTACCTGCGACGTGATGGTCTGCCTCATGCTGGTCTCTGATCACTAGCTGTGTTATCCAGCAAGACCGCGGCAAGATGATCGGATGCTTGGCGTCTTGACTGAGATACTGTGCCTCTTGGAGCCGTCCTGTCATTCTCATCACACCAACTTCATCCAAGAACGGGGTCAGGCTGCTCAGTGGACTGGTTGCCGGTAATGGTTTGCCCTTCTGCAGTGACGAATATTCAGCAAAGGCGTCCTTCTGGCTTGACCGAATAACGGCCTGGAGGCTGTCTTCGACTTCCTCGACCGTCAGCTGACCATACTGTCTCTGCGTGGCTGGGATTCGGCAGTTTGAGGAAAAGCGCAGCACCCACGCCGTCAAGCGGACCAGCCGCTGAAGCGAAGAGAATCGTTCAGGCGCCAGAACCCACTCGCTCGTCGAGAGGAAAGACACACATGTCACTTGGTGGTGTTGCTGACCTTCTTCGGGTGGTTTGGCTTTCGTGCGGACCTCTGGTGCAGCTGGAACTTTGAATCCCTCGGGCTGCTGTGGCCGTTCTTCGATGCTCTGAACGAGATATGACGGACCGTTCCACCACAGCACATTCATCGCGATAGTAGCGCTTGATGTTCCTCGTGACAGGATGTCAGCTGGATTCACCGCCGTCGGAACGTAGAACCACTGACTAGGCGAGGAAGAAGCCTGGATCTCACCGACGCGGTTGGCCACGAATGGCTTGAAGACCCGGCTGCTGTTCCTTATCCACCACAGGACATCCATGCTGTCACTCCAGAACACGACATTCTCCATTGCGATGGCGAGTGTCTTGGCTACGGACACACCAAGACGACATCCGATGACTGCTCCCATTAGCTCGAGTCGGGGGATGCTAACAGCTGATAACGGCGCCACTTTGGCTCGAGCCATGACGAATCGACTGGACCTCGTACCATCCTGGTACACATGACAGAGATAAGCGACTGCTCCATATGCATCTTGCGAGGCATCGCAGAATACATGTAGCTGAGTCTCCACCACCTCTTCATCGCGTTGAAGACACCGGTGAACTCGGACATCCTGGAGTGCATCCATGTCGGCACACCACTTTTGCGCCTCTGCGCCTAGCTCTGGAGGCAGAGAGTCGTCCCAGTCAGCACCTGCTAGCCACATCTTCTGGAACAACATCCGACCAACTATGGTGAATGGCAGTACGAATCCGATCGGATCAAACAATGTGGCTAGGTTCTTCAAGAACGCTCTCTTGGTGACAATGTCTGATGGCGGCTTGACATGAATCAGGAACTCGTCTTCCTCTGCTCGCCACTTAACTCCGAGAGTCTTGGTCGTCGGCAGGATTCCATTAGCGAGTTCCACTTCCTTGGCTCGGTCCTCCTCGGGGACTTCGGCGAGCACCTCAACATTGTTGGAAATCCATTTTCGCACATGCATTCCAGCGAGACCCCACAGCGCCGTAAGCTCGTGGTACAGCTGAATCGCTAGCTCTGTTGACTTTGTCGAGTCCATTGAATCGTCCATGTACGTGGACTTCAACACGGTTTCTGCTGCCATAGGAAACTCCTCCTGGTTCCGCCGCGCATGCTCTTGCGAGACCAGTTGAGCTAAGAATGGAGATGCATTGATCCCGAACACTACTCTATTGTACTGGTAAACGGCCGGTTGGTCCTCCGTATCTTCTCGCCAAAGAAATCGATGGAACTGCCGGTCATCCTCTTCCAACTCGATTTGTAGATACATCTCTGCCACGTCGGCTACCAGTGCGTTTGGGTGTCGCCGAAACCGCAGGAGAACGTCGGTGAGGTCCCGTTGTAGTTTGGGCCCAGTGCTGATGTAGTCATTCAGACACTTGCCTTTCGTCTTTGCTGCTGCATCAAAGACCACACGCACCTTTGTGGATGTAGCCCCAGGTCGTACAACAGCAAAGTGCGGCAGATACCAGCCGTCGCCATCACTTGCGTTGCTGATCTTGCTGATATACCCTTGTTCTAAGTGACGGCGAATCACGGTTCGGTATTCCTCAGCGACGTCTGGCTCCTTCGCCAGGCGTCTCTCTGCTGCGATGAGCCGCTTCATTGCAGTTTCTCGACTGTAGTTGTCCGGAGGTGGTCTCTTGATCCACGGCTCCATAACCTGGCATCTTCCGTTCTTGTAGGTCATCGACTGGACCGTCTGATCAAAAACGGCTTGATCATCTGCACAGAATTCGTACGACTGGGGAAGTTCCTCCATCTCCCACATCCTTCTCACCAGTGCATTCAGGTCGACGTCCTTTCCGAAGTACGTGCGGGTGAAATTTGTCGTCTGTTGCGGTCTGGTGCTCCTGCCAACACATGTCCACCCGAGTGGCGTTCTGCGTGCGAATGGCTCATGAGCCTCACCATAGACTTCCTCCATGCACCTGTGGAGACTAGCGTGGTCAAGGCCGATCAGCGCCTCTACTCGCTTCTTCTGGCATTGCGGAAACTCAATGCCGTTGAGGTGCGGATACCGTGTCTGATCTACCGACCAATCATGAGGTGTAAGTTTACCGGTGACATTCTTGGCAGTCAGAGCAGAGAACTGTGTGATAAATCTGCCATCCAGACTCTCGATGTGGCAGTCGACTGGCATGGTCTCTAGGGTCTCGATGCGGCCGTTCAGCGTGCTCACTGACACTTCTTGTGTGGGAGCGCTAAGCTCTAGCTGTGCCGCAACGTCGCAATTAAGGTAAGACTGCGTGCTGCCGTCGTCCAGCAGCGCGTTGACCGTGACATTCTTGTCGCCGTGGCGAAGTATGACGGGAACGGTTCGCAGTGCGACAGCTCTAACGCCGACACTACTCATATGAGTGGCCATGGAACTGGTGTCACCCCCCTCCGTGGAGGCGCTACCCTGGAGCACTGGCTTCTGTGAGGCTCCATTCGAGTCTGTAGTAGTACTAGACTTTCCGAGCAGCAACGCGTTGTGGGTCTCTGTACAACCGTCTGCACCACAGGGCTGCGACCTGGGACAGTTATTTCCCAAATGACCAGAGTTTAGGCAACGGTAGCAAAGCTTGAGCGTCCGGGCCTTCTGCCAACGCTCTGCAATTGACAGCTTCCGATACTCTAGGCATTTCCAAACGGGATGGATCTTCGTGCAGATCGGGCAACTGCTGCTGCTCTGGGCCTTCTTGGGCTTGTCAGCGAAGAATGCCTGATGCTTCACTCCACCATGACTGGCCTGGCCCTTCAGGGGGTGACTCTTTGCTGTTTGAGTGGACCCTACTGGAGTTGCCGTGGAGATACCTTGGATCGTCTCCTGGGCTCGTACTTGGAACTCGCTTTCCAGCTCCACCCATTGCAGAAGCGCTTCGACAGATTCAGAGGTGCTTGTCTGATGTATCCACTTCTGGTAGCTCAGCAGAAGAGACACCCCCAGCTTCTGTGTTAGCCGGACATAAAATGTCCCGTTAGCCAACTCCTGTGTCTGACCACTCGCCTTCAAATTCACCACAGCGACATCGAGTAGCTCCGCAAAACGCTCCTACTCCTGGGCGTTTGCAGATCTCATCGCTGGGAACTTCTCAAGGGCTTCTAGATGCACTGCAACTAGACGTCGCTGACCACCGAACTTGCGTTCCAGCCTACGTCGTGCTGCCTCATACGCCTCCGCCGAGTAGCCAAGAGTGTCGATAGACCGTAGTGCATCGCCCGCGAGGTATTTTCGGAGCTGCAATAACTTCAGCCCATCCGGAATGTTAGCGCAGCCAATGCACATCTCAAACGCCGCCTTCCACGTCTCATATTGCCGCTTGTCGCCCTTGAACGTTGGAATTGACACTTTCTCTAAATGTCGGTACAATTCGATTCTACCAGAACTACTCGCTTGCACTGGTAGACCACTCGGCGAAGTCATGGCAACTGGAAGACTGCTCGGCTGCACAAGACCATAATCTTCACGGTGTGACGCGTGACCTGGCTGACCAACTGGTATTTGTTGCATGGCCGGTTGGGTCGCTGGTGGGGTAGACATTATTCCAGACTGATTTGGCAAGACGTGCGTCGGGAAGTCGGGTGCCGACAAGAAACCCGGTGGTGTTCCAAATGAGAATGGATGTCCAGAATGGGTCGGCGGTGGAACGTACACATTTCCTGATCCCGGCACAAATGCAGGTGTAGAAGCCGAGAGAGTATGACTTGCAACTGCACGAGGCTGCACAGCTGGAGTTGGTTGCGTCCCACGAGGAGGCTGCACTGCAGGAGTTGGTTGCGTCTGGGCTGACTGCACGAGTATGGTCGTGGCCGACAATGCTCTGGGTGGTACACTGACCCCACTTGAACTACGGTTAGGGGCAGTGATTACGTTTCTTGCCGAAGCTGCCGACGTAGATACCGGTGCCTGCTGCGCGCCAGACTGAGCAATGCCACTTGCCTGGTTACTCCCTGCAGACTGATGACCAATGTTCAGCGGTGTTGCCATGGTTTCGGCGGTTGCCATGGCAACCGGGTGAACTTTTGACAAGAGCTCCGCCGTAAACGGTAACGTAGGTACAGACGACAAAGAGACCGGAAAGGACACCTTGATTGTGCGTGACTTGTCTGTACTCACATTGGTTGCCATGGTTGCACTTGACGACGACACAATTGGCTGGCTGTCACTGACGCTTGCCATGTCAGCCCCAGGCGGTTCGTCCTGTCTATCACGATGGTCACCACTTGGAGTTCCCAGGGGGAGTGCCGATGCATTTGCTCTCAGAGGTGCTCCCGAGGAAACGGCAGGCGGCTGGGTAGTCCTCTCAACAGTCGCACTCTGGCTGACACTGGATGCAGACACATTCCCAAAACGACTGAGACTCTTCTCAGCACACATGTTCTGTTTTTCCTCAAGGGCCTTGCTAGGAGAGTGTGGCGGTGTCAACATCCTCCCACTTGCTCTGGGATTCTCCAAGCTCTGCGTCAACATTGCCTTTACTAATCTTATGTTCTTGGCTCTGGTGATGGAAGCTGGCGAACTTTCACCAGTTCTGGCTCGACTTGGCCTCTTGCTTATTTCTGCCAGCACGTCGCTGGTCTTGCTGACAGCATCGCTGTAGTCGACGTTGATGACCTCTATCTCCTCGTGCACTTTTTCTGTGGGTAGTCCTAATTCTGCGTACCGAGTTACCAGTTTTAGACACACATCCACAGCGTTGTGAACACTCTCAGTCACGTCATCCAACAACCTCTTGATCTCTTTCGAGGTCGCATCCTCTTCGTAGATCCTGCTGAGCAACAAGTTTCGATTTCGTGTGACATGGAACTTGGCCTTGGCCTTCGCTTTCTTGCACTCCTCAAGATCCATGTTGTCCAGCGAAAACCCGAAATGCTACTCACTACCACACTGCGCTTGGTGAAGGAACCACTACTTGACAACCATCCTCTGCTACCAATTTGTCATGCAGGTTCTCACACGCAACGGGAACACTTCGTGGTAGTAAAATAGATATTTCGCAAACAACAAAAAGACAACTCTTTCTCTTCCTTTCGAAGAACCGAGCTAATTACTTGCCGAGCCTCATCGAAAAACCAAACGAAACTCTGAAAAAGCCCTACACTACACTAGTACGGGATTCAGCGCAGAGCAAAAAATGATCATGAGTCATTTAGAAAAGCGATCCTGTCAGCTTTTCTATTATTGTGTTCACATGGCAAGAAAAACGACACCGCTATGCTACGTAAGTTTCTACGTAAGGTGCTCGGTATTTCACTTAGGCTACGTAAGTCTCTACGTAAGGTGCTCGGTATTAGATCTACCAACGGGTGGTAGCCGCGTGCGGTGCACGTGCATGGCAGACATTGTGTTGCATGCATGCAGTGCAGTCCGTGTTCGAACGTTCGGATGTGCATGCGCGAGGAACTTCCTTCTTTGGAACTGCTTCTTGTATGAGCTGTTTCGGATATTTCGTCTCCTGGCCTGGCTTATTTCGTTTCGGCGCTGCTGAGACCTCCTTTCGCGGAATATTACTCAATGACAGGTGAGTTGACCAGTTCCCTTTGATTTATTTGCTTGTGTTGACTCTTTCATTTACGAAAAGTGTGCTGATTTTGGGCGGAATGCAATAAAATTAATAATGGAAAAGCTGACAGGATCTCTTTTTTTCCTTCGATTCATTTGCTTATACTCACCCTTTCATTTACGGAAACGTGTGCTGATTTTATTCGGATTTAGATCCATTTTTATCTCTTTGCCCTTGGCTACAGTGTGCGAAGAACGCGAGTTCACCTTCTTGACGGTAAGGCTTATGTTAGATGTGTTGTCGAAATACTCATATTCATTGTACATTGGTACGTTACAAGTAAGGCAGTGGTCAGTGACATACTATCGTTGGCAGTTCCCAATCTGGAGGGAAAGGTTCAAGGACCCATTGACCGAGTTTGCAAAATATATTCGCATATCAGGGAAAATCTCCATTGTGGAGAGGATCAGTAACTTGTTTGCTTCATACGAAACAAGCCAATGGGTGCAGTCTCGTCTCGTGAAGATCTTGTACTTGTATGATTGGATTTGTTTACTGGAGTCTGGGCTGTTTGATTTATTATTTGTGAGTACCGCCGAGATTGCACTGCCCCAAATAAAGTTTCGTGCCGCCAAAGCAAGAATTACGATCTGCAAACTGTTTGTAGTACATGTACCTGCAAGAATGTGCTGTACATGTATCGTACTTTCTCTGTTGCTGTTTCAGTTGCCGTCATGTTTCTAAAGAAAGGTTCAGTAGAGAGGTTCTGCAAAACGAAAATTCGAACGAAGTTTCGCGACAGTCCTTGCGAAAGTGTGTACGAATTTTTGCACGAATTTTGCGTTCTGCACATTTTCGTAGTTTGCGCGGGCCAAGTGCACATACGCCATGACCCGATCTCACGAATTTTCCTACGACACTTCATTTCGCGTTCCCTGCAAGTTTCGCGTCCAAAGTTGCGAAAGTTCGTGCGAAGTTTCGCACTTCATGACGTAGAACGAAAGTTTGTACGCATTTTCGTTTTGCAGAACCTCTCTAGTGACTCATTTGTTTCATATGAGACGAGCCAATGAGTTGGTGTGGCTTAGAATCATCTTTCGCTGTAGAAGAAATCTATTCGTATGTCTATTGGAGAAATAATTGTATTCACTGGTTATAAAATAGGTTAAGACAAACTCACAGAATAAATACCATCGGTTCCTTGGTGTTCGTCCTAAAGAGGTTCGACTGGATATCATTCATACTCACCAAAAGATGTGTAAGATTTTATTATTATGGAGTGCCTTGTTTATCTCTCAGTACCTCCAACCATAGCCTTGCCCCTTTTATCCTCAACATCAGTGTAGTTGTTGGAAGGAGGTGTCGGACTCAGCAATGTATTTGTTTACATTTTAAATACATGTTTATTGTTCCTCTTTTGCTGTGTTGTTTTAGAAAATCGTGGACTAACAGTTTGAAGTCATTGAACTACTTCCAAAAGTTGTATCGACATCAACAGGATTACGATTTCAGTGCAATATGATGGTGGATGACCTTATCACGATAACCCATGATTACGATTTCAGTGCAATATGATGCAGGATGACCTTATCACGAAAACCCATCATTATAAACCATTATAAACACAGAATCAACAAAAACATCTGCGACACGCACCTGGTTACATTTCTCAAATAAATCACATCGAGGGTGGGGAGATCTGAAATATCTGAAAGGCAAGCCAATTTTATGACAGAGTCATGAAATTCTGCTACAGCAACATGCACAGAATGACCTCCGTATAGAAAAAAGTATCACCACGGTCCACGTACCACTACGTACTCACATGTTTCCCCGCACAAAGAACATGCATTTGGCCATTTTCTGCAAGAAAAGGCTT